ATGAAGATCAAGCATAAGGCCAAAAAGAGACACTGGAGAAAAGACAATCCCTTCAATAAGCATTATGGGAAAAACTGGATACCCACATGTAGAAAAATGAAAATATGCCCTCTCTTGCCATGCACAAAAATCAACTCCAGATTGATCAGAGATCTCAAAATAAAACCTGAAATTCTGAATTTGCTGGAGAAAAAAATAAGAAATAGACTACAATGTATAGACTTAGGTAAGGATATTCTAAATATGATGCTGGTAGTTCAGCAAATAAATGGGACTTCATGAAATTAGAAGTTTCTTTACATCAAAAAAATCTTACAAGTGAGGGGAAGCAGCCTACAGATTATGAGAAAGTGTTTGCCAGCATACATCTGACAGAGGATTAATATCTAGAATATACAAAGAATTCAAAAAACTAAATTAAAAAAACAAACTACCCAATAAAAAATGAGCTCTGTTGGGTCTATGACCCCTCCTAATAACCACAACAAATGGCACAGCAAACTATTTCTATTGGTGCAGTAGTGGTACTTTTATCCGGTGGGTAATCAACAGCTGTATAATTGGACTTAAAGCCCTCTCAATAGGAGGGAACTCATGGGTGGTATTGTAAATATAACCAAATACACACAGTTACAGAGGTCATAGGTCCTAGAGAAAATCCTACTACTATCATATCTTTAGACAAATAAAATGTCTTATTATATGCTAAATATGGATCCTTATATTTATAGACAAGTGTAACATATACTTCTCATCAAAGAATCTTCTTTTTGCAATAGATAGAGGCTATTACAGAGTTCCACAATCAGTCACACACAGAATATATGTCAGAGAGATACTTAGTCCTAAGTGATACTTCTACAGTGGAACCTCCTCACCTAACTACATTATATATGTGACTACTACAGTTTTCAGAATTTGATCCACTTGGGGCTATAATTATAACACCAGTACAGTTTTACTAAATTGGAAGTTGAGCTAACAACCAATCATATTTTTCTATTGTCAACCAATATACAGAATAAAAGCATCATTCTTTTTACCATATCCCTGTCTTTCACATATTGGTACATAAAGAAGATGGATGATAAAAGCTTTATATTCATCAGAAAGTAGTTTATCTTTCTTAAGGCCTTTTACAGGTAGTCGTGTTGAACTGAGATTCTGCCCTTGGAGATCTTCACAATGCATGTGACTTTTTTGGTAGCATGCTTCTCAAAAGCTAACATTTGCATCTTGTGTAAATTTTTGTGCTGTAAGACACTGTAACAGAATAGTTAACAGAATAGTTTCTGATTATTTTTAGTGATTTTTCCAATGAACCTTCTTCATTTTTCCCACTAAAAAAATGTGCTCTGGTCATACAGAACCCTTATTCATTCCATGAACAGGAAATGAGAACTCATTTAATTGAATTTAATTCAATGTTCATTTATTTATATAATTATTGCATCACTATCTCCTACCACAGTACAGCAATGAGGGATCAGTGACTATTATCAAGCCCCACTAGAGGGCTCTGGGATAATTGGTCCTAGAAAGGTCCTGAGTAATTACTACATCTTTAATGAGTTACACGAGATCAGAGTCCTCTGGGATGCAGAACCTCTTAGGCCCAGGGATGGCTAGAAATGGAGATGTGTATAGGGTGGTACAGATAGATGGTGAATACAGAGGTTGTTGCTTCCTGGGTCTCTAAACAAAATAAAAGTGAGCAGGATCTTGAACCGGAAACCTTGACTTACCTTCAGTCAACCTGGGTAAATTTTCAGGAGAATGCTCTAGTGTCTTACTGTCCATCCAAATTGAAGGATTTAAATTTCCAGGTGTCAGGTAGGACAGTCTTTCAGGTATCATAACATTCTTCTTTTCTCTCTCTGTCTCTCAAGACTTGCCATTTTGTGAATTATTTTGTGTCATAGTAAACATTTATAGCTTTAGTATTGATGGGGTTCATGATTACTTATTGTGTAACTATTCCCCAATATAATAATAATTTCAATATAATAAGGTCTCTGTGAGATAGAGTTCACTGCTGTAATGCTTAGGGAGTGTTTGCTATACTTTAACCAGTGGAGTTTAACAAACTCTGAACAAGTACCCTATCCAAGATGATGAGAAATTTTATCTATACAAGCTCACAAATCTGTATTTTAGTGGAAGTGTATATAATTGCTCCTAAGTGTAACCCACCAATGACAATGTTAATATTATATGGGTGTTCATGTAAAATATATGGGGAGAGATAACAAAAACATCAGTGCTTTCACTGAATCTCAAATAGTGTGTGTGTGTGTGTGTGTGTGTGTGTGTGTGTGTGTGTGTAAAGAAGCACATTACTTGTGATTTTCATGTTCTGTCCAAGTTCAGAACTGTTGGATTAACCACTAAAGAAGGTATGGAACTCATTGGTCCATCAGCAACATTTGAGGTTGATTTTTCTGGTTTGTGACCTTTCACACACTCCCATAGAGCACAAGGATGCTGTTCTTTCCAGGAGAAGCAGAAACTGGATGCAGTGGTACATGTCTGTAATCCTAGTGCTCAGGAGATAGAGGCAGGAACATTACACGTTTGAAGTCAGACTGGGATATATAATGAGACTCGGTCTTTTAAAGGTTATATAAACTTTCCCTACATGGTTCTTCCTTCTATAATGCTAAAACATAACACCCAGTGGACAAACTCTGAATGCTGCATAAAGCATCCAGCAGGGTGAAGACCCCAACACTTAGACTCAGTTATATCATTTTAGAGAAAGCTTCATACATTTGTTAATGCGCCTGCCCTGCTTTGTCGTCTTTGAGAAACGCTGCAGTTCCTAAGGGTTTTCAAGAC